TTATCTCCCTCACTCACAAGCCATAAGCTTTGCAAGGGTTTCTTCTACTTCTTTCATACTTCTCTTTAGAACCAAGTATAATAATGGGTACAGAATGGGCCCTCAACCAAGGTTTTTAATTTTCAAAATGCAAAATACTAGAAACATTTACCATGGAGAAGTTAACCAAATTACTCAAAAATCTTCCTTTTGAGGAATACAGATATATATAAAACTCCCCAGATCCTTAACCAAACTCTTCAGAATAAAATAAGTAAAGGTGAACTCTGAGGTTTCACATTACAATAATCCTAGGCAATGAAAGAATAAGTTGTAATTCAGTTAAAATTAAAGTTGTCCAGAGATAAAATTCCTTTAATGTATCAGAAGTTCAGTGTTAGTGCACTTAGTCAAAGAAAGTTGTAGTATTTTCATCATGAAACATGAGCAAAAGTTAATAATTAAACCTTTGTTGTTTACTTGATGATTTTATTGTTCTTTCTGGGTTAAGGCTCACATATATTAATTACAGTGACTTTAGAATTACAAAAACAGCAACAGCAAATAATAAAACACAGTAAGGTCAACCTAAACGGTATTTCTTTAAAGTATAAAGTAGTAATAATAATAATGCTCTATCTCAACAACAGAAAAAGAAAATTCAAAAAACGTGTTTCCCATGAAACTATACGCCAGAAACTGAAATTCAAAGTCAAATGATTTCAAAGTACAAAGAGAGAGAACTCAAACAGCCCGAACACAGTAGACCACAACAACAATCTATAACTGGATAGTAAAGGAGAGACTCTCTAAAGGTTATAAAATCCAATTGTAATGTTCTCCGTAAAACCTGTATCTTTAAATAGCTGAAGTTCACTTGTCATTCAAACCCCTCTCATAAAGAGAGCTCCTTCCCTCCTCCTCCTCCTGGGGCTCTTACTCCTTCCCCTCTCTTCCTCCCCCACCCCCAATTTTACTCTTTGAAGATGGAAAGCAATCTTTAACCATTATAATTTACCTTTTAGACATAATTTCATAAATATATGCTACCATCTAAAATAATATCATGAAATGCCCCAAGCTGTCCACCATCCAGGGACTACGTTCCCATCCCCCTTACACTCAAATAAAGCTCTGTGACAAATTCTCACGCATGAAATGTGGGCAGATGTTTGTCACTTTAAGTCTGGGGGTTCTTAAGACATGGTCTGTGGGTAACAGGCAGGGCTCCAAGGCCCTAGGGAATGGTAGAGCCATAAGATGTAAGGAGTCCGGGTGCCTCAATTACCACATGGAGGAAAGCCACAAGCCTGCTAAACAGGAGCACCTGCACTAGACTGTTATGTGAGCAAAATACAAATTTATATGTGTTAAACCACTGAAATTTTGGAGTGTATTTATTACCCTAATTAGCATTACTCAAAGTAATACATGGACAGTCTTAAGTATTTCAATTCACCCAATTAAAGACATAATTTGGAAGAAGAAGAAATAATTTGGAAGGACTGTTTAAAAGTCCATTTAAGTAACATTCAATTTTAAAACCTAAACAGTTTGCCACCTTGATTTTGTTATAACGTAATTCCTTCAGTTTAAACAGTGATATCATGAGCAGTGCCACTCTTAAAAATAAATTTCACTGTCCAATAATCCACATAGTTATACATTAATTCAGTATCATCTATTTTCACAATTATTACAGAGAAGTGTTTTCCTCAATTCTCCCAAACTAAAAAAAAAGCTATGAAGTATTCTAAAATACTATAATTCATAATGTCTAATGAAAATTACCAAATACCTAGTTAAGGACAAAATTCATTTCTATTTTATAGTTTTAACGTATTAAAAATTATCATTTATAACTTTCAAGGTAAGAATTCTTCCTCTAAATATAATCATACGGCAGATAGTTCTGTTCATCGTAAACCCACACATGCATAACAAACACACTTTAACAAAACCATTACATTTTCATTCTAGTGAAGTTGTCCCTACGATCCTTTACAAAAATCCTTCACAAATGTTTCAAAATTTTAGTGCTTTACTAGGTTTTTTTTTTAAAGCTTAACACTGCTGATATAAATAATACTGATATAGGGCCTAACTGGGAAACCTGGCATTAGTAAACAGAGACATTATAAATTTAAACCAATGAAACTCCTCCCACCTCTCTTCACTCTGCCTTCACCAAAAAAAAAAAAACCTTTATTTAACCTCTCTGTTGCCTTTACCTTAAATTCCATACCATTATTTTTTCCACCACGATACAGTTAAAATTAAATGCACAACACATTTACTACTCCACACAGAATAATAAAAATGGAAAATTATTGAAAGTTGATAGAGGATTTTTGCTTCCATTCAGGAAAATGTTCCAAGAGGTTTTGTTTACCAGGATCAGTCAACATGAACTAAAAAGATTACATAGCAATTTCTGTAGCACTTATACTTTCTGGATCTATACAGATAAAGCAAACCCTAGTTCTTGGATCCTTTTTAAAGCGTGATTGCACTGGAACATATATGTGATACATATAGCTTAAAAAACTTTTTCCTGGGCAACACAGCAAGAACTCATAAAAAGAGTAATGCAATAGAGATGGCCTACTTCAAAATATGAAAAAAAAATTAACTATGACTATATAGTCTCTATAAACTAATACAACAGGCTATTTTAATGACAATCTTATTTCTAAAAAAAAGACTCCTAAAATACAACATTAAAAGTTGTTTATATATACCTATGTATATCAAAGGACTCTGAAACGTTCTATTGTCTTGATTTTTAACTTACAGTTACATAATATCTCCGTAATTAAATGAATATTTCTACTTAGAAATGTTTTTCAATACCCACACTCAAGGCTGCAGAAGGAACTAACATTTAACTAAGCATCTACTATGTGCCAAACATTATGTTTTCTCATTCTATTCTCAGACAACCTTACTATATATGTATTATCTCCTTATTACAGACGAGAAAACAGAGGCTTATCGATATTAAGTACCTTGCCTAAGGTCAAACAGCTAAGAAAAATGCACCTCCAGAGTTGTGAGGTCGGTAAAACAAGTCCTTTCTCTACTAAACCACATGCGTTGTTTTTCCAGTAGTGGTCAAAGAAAACAGCTCTCCACCCATCCTATTCTTCCCCCCACTTTCCAGTGACCAGCATGGAACATTTCTTTGTGACACCAGGTTCAGAAAAAAAGCAATCTCTGGCCACCGTACAGTGCACGGCCTGCAAGGATGGGAACCACATCACGACTTTATCCACAGGGTTTCAGCTGGATGAGCCAACTAGATGTAAATGGAAGAGGGTAGAGTGAATAAAGTAAATCAGCAAATAATTATCCTAATACCATTTCTATCTGGTTCTGAAATGCACTGACCGATTTATCTTCATAGTTGCGTCTGACTTAGACTACCCTCGAAACAGCTTTCCAGGAGCTCACACTGAGTAGACAATAGAGGCTGCTTGATCTAGGTTTTCGAGACTGTGAGGGAGAACGTGTTTGTCTGGGCAGGACTATCTTGATTGGCAATTAAGATAACTAACTACAAGCTATAAGGGAGTATCTCCCAAAATGTAGCACAGTGCTTCCAATGTGTACAAACGGCTCGGCAAAACTCCCTGAACACAATCCATCCGAAGAGCCCGAGCTAACTAGGCGGCCGAGTGCGGGAGGATGACAGCTCCGGGAACTTCCTCTTCCTCCCCGACCCCTCAGCTCGGCGCGCACGCCTTTCCCCCAGGAGGCAGGATAGAACAGTTTCAAACGCCCCAAACCGATCCAATCCCACCAACACCAGAGGACAGGGAAGTCAGCTTCCAAGCCTTCCCCCGCCTCTCCAAGAGAATTTTTATCTTAAAAAAAATGCACACATCTTACCCACGAAAAAGTATTTGCAACGAAAAATGAAAATATGGACTGAATCCCTCCACACGGCCCTTGAGGGAAGCCTTGAAAGAACGGCCCTCGCCACCGCGGACCCCCGAGACCGACCGCTCTGCTTCACTTGCCCTCGGGGTCCCCGCCAGCCGCGGGAGCCCGCCGTGCGAGCGCCGAGGGGCGCCTCCGCCTCTCCTCAGGACAGCGGCGGCCGGGCCGACGGCGACCGGCGCGTCCCGCCGGCCACCCTCACCTGCCCAGGCCCGAGGCAGCGCCGTGGGCCCGCGCGGCCCGGCGGCCCGGGAGGCGGGCGGGAGCAGGCGGCGGGCGCCGAGGCGGTTAGGCCGCGCTGCAGGCCGGCGCGCTTCCTGCCGCGGCAGCGGGAACGGCAGCCCGCGGCGGGCGGCGCGGCCCGGACCGCCGCTCTCGGCCGGGCTGCCGCGCGTGTGCCGCGGACACACTCCCTCTCCGGGGCCCGGGCCCGCCGAGCAGCTCTCATCTGGGAGGCTCCGGAGCCTCGGCCACCGAACGGGAGGGACACGCCGCTCGGGGGTCTCGGACACACGGAACCCGCGCCCAGAGTCCCGGGCCCTGGGCGCGGACCCCCCCAACACACACACACACACACACACCCCGGAACCTCGGCCGCCTCCGACACAGCCGCCGGTCAGCCCCACACCCGACACACACCCACTCGCGGTGGGTCCTTCAGGCCGTCTCTCCGCCCGCCAAACTCCCAACTCGCACACCCACACGCACATTTGTCCCTCTCCCACCTCATCTCCCCGGGGACGCGCTCCTCTTCCCAACACTCGATCCTACTCCGAGGCGCACACACTCTCTACCTCATTCTCTTCCTCCGGCCCAGAAGGAGCAACAGCAGCCATTTCCCCGCGGCAGGGGAAACACACACACACAAACACGCGCGCGCGCGCACCAGGCCCCCCCCATGCTTCCCCTCCCGAGCGGCGGCCGCAGACGCAAACACAAACACCCACGGCAGGGCCGCGCTCCCGCCCGCCCCGGAGGGAAGCCGCCGCGCCAGGCAGGGCCCGGACCCCGGCGCGCGGCCGGGCACGCGGGGAGGGCGCCCGGGCCTGGGTCGCGGAGGGCCTGCGCCCCCTCCTCACCTGCATTCAGCGCGCCGGGGTCCGGGCGGCGGCGGCGGCGGCGGCGGCGGGGCGGCTGGTGCTGGTGCTGCGGCGGCGGGGGAGGCGGCGGCGGCGGTGGCGGCGGGACTGAGTGCAGCAAAGACATGCAGGCAGCCCGCCGGGGGGAGAGGCACCGGCCGGAGGGGACGCGGGGCGGGCGGGCCGGGCCGGGCCGCCTGAGGAACGGCAGAGGCGGTGGCGAGGAGGACGGCTGAAGGGAGCGAGAAGGAGACGGATGGGGGGCGGGGAGGGGGACGAGGGCCGCGCCGCCGGGCTTCGGGGACGGTGACCCTGGGCGCGCAGGAGAGGCCCCGCGGCCACCGACGCGAAGGCCCCCGCCGGAGGAAGCTTCGCCCCCGCAGCCGCCGGAGCCGCGGCTATTACTCCGAGAGCCGCGCCGAGCCTGGCCTTGGCCTTGGCCTCCTGGCGCTGGGGCTGCCGCCGCTGCGGGGGTTCCTGCTGCGCCTGCTGCTGCCGGGGCCGAGGCTGCTGCACAGAGACGCCAGCTTTCGGTGCCTTTGCTCTCGCTCACACACGTTCACACCCCCGAGGGCTGGGGGAGAGGCGTCCGCGCGATATCGGTATTGAGATTAATAACAAGGTGCAGAGAGTGCGAGGAGGAGGGTTGATTGACGTGGAGGGGCTGGCGGGAGTCAGTCACTCCCCTGCGCCGAGGGGTGGGGTGAGGGGGAAGGGGGCGGAGCTCCAGCGCCGCGCCTTGGCCCCGCCCCCTGGGCGCCTCGTTGGGTCGCGGTGCGCGTGCGCGCACGGCTGCCAGGGATCTTGCCTGTTTCCTCCTTTACCCTTGCTGTTTTCTTACTCTCTGTTCTTGGCTTTAGTGACGAGCGGCGCTGGGAAGGCTGGTAGCCTATCAGAAATTCACAGCCACAAAGCCATGTTGGGGGTCGGGGAGGGACTGGCGAGGCCGCCTCACCCAGTGTTCGTGCGTGTCCTCGGTGCTGTTTACTGCCCGCTCGCGCGAGGCGGCCTGATGGCGAGGCCGAGCGCTGACCTGCTGGCTAACGAGACGCCAGGAGAGGTGAAGTGACCAAAGGAAATGTTTCCGGACATCTTCGGTGGGTTTTTGTTAATAACGTGTGCCATCTGTAAGTTGTATCCCAAAAGATAAATAAAAGAACCTGTGACGCTCTGCGATAACCCGGTCCTGTTTATTTTCTAAATTTTCCATTCTCGCGATAGAAGTAGTTTGGCAGCGCCGGCTACAGAGCGAAAACATCAAAATGTAAACTGGAAATATTAATGTTTACTTGGTGAATGTGGCCTTGACATTTTAAGTTTCTGGGATTTAATTTTGTTTTTGTGAGTCAGCTTCAGCTTTTACCACCAGCAGTTCAAAAACAAATTATACCAGCTCTAGAAGCAGAATACTGCTGTTGCAGTTTTGCACAATCTCTTTCTCAATGCATGCTCCGGTCTTGTGTACTTACCAGTGTTAGTCAAGGGGTTATTAGCAGTGTTCAGTATTTTTTGCCCACAAGGGTGGTGTTTTGTATACTAAGCACATTGTGTTGGTTGCACTTAATCTTAGACCCTGTTGTCTGATGTAAAAGGCCTTCATCTCCTGGGGGAAAAGGTGCGGTAAAAATGCAAATCATCATCTAGCCAGAGCTGATCAGCTTTTAAAAGAGCCCACCATTGCAGAAGGACAACTGCACCACTTTCATCTTTGCTACCAGGAAGTGTGAGTGAGTGAGTGAAGAAGCCCTTCAGGACGTAGCACGTCGCGGCTACTTTGTTTTCTGCCTGTGTTAAGTTTCCATTTCCCCCGCTAGCAACACCACCCCCATACCCGCTTGTGTAATAGGTGTCAAAATGGTCTTTATCCCGGAAGAAGTCCCACTGATTCCCACTATCTTGAGCCTAGGCTGACATATAATGAATAAGCTTCTTTGGCTTTGTGCAAAGCCAAACAAGTCACTTCAGGAGCCCAGAATAGTAAACCTGCCTCAGTGGCATCTTGCCACAGCATTTTTCCTTGGCACACAAACACTCTTCCCCAAGGAGAAATAGTACCAAATGTTGAAGAAAAGAGGAAAATAAACGCCTAAAAATATAGAAATCAGACAATGGAATATCTTCACAGATTTAAGCTGCTTCAAATACCTACAGATATATAGATTCCTAGTTATTCTTTCATATACAATAAACAAACATCTGTGAGGGTGTTTTATCTTCTAGACGTTGTATTTAGTGTCAGATAGAAAGATACGCATATGTAGTCCCTCTTCTTCAGTAGCTGACAGTCATTGTAGGAGAAGCAGACACATAAACAGGAAATTCTCACAGAACAAACCAGAAATGAAAGTATGAAAGGTGGCACAAAATTCATAGTCACCACAATGCCCAGGAGGATAAAGCTGATGACACTGGTATCTTCCCTTGAGCCATCTGACACCTGCCTCTCTCACAGGCTGACTAGCAGTACCGACTGGGATGAGGAAAGAGGGGGGAACCTTTGTGGATGTTAAAGAAGCGCTAATAAATGGTGGGCTTTGCTGGTCCTGAAACTCACATTTATATAGGAAATATTCATTGTTGGCCTTTAAATTTTAAATACTAAATGAGTCACAATCCTTGGAATAATTGTAATTGTGACAGAGTTAAGAATCGTGGATTAAAAAAAATAGTGGGTTTCATTATAAAAAGATCAATTGAATGCAGGTTAAGTTTAAATAATCTCCACCCTAGGGATGTTCTCTTTATTCCACGGCACGTTAACTCTCACTAAAAACGAAAGGAAAGCAATACTTCTATATATTACTGAATATAACTATCATCCAAAAAAATAGATTATTGTTTTTCTCATTTGCAATGAGATTGAGATTAGAGAAATAGCAATTTTCAAATAGTTAGCACTGTACAAATGCTGAGAAATTAAATCTTCACAGATATAAAAAAAATTCCTCATAAGACTCCAATTCATAAAACATTCCAACAACAAAAAAGTAGCACTTAAGTCATTTTTAAAAATCCATTTTATAGTAGCTCAAAGCTTGCAACAGAATAGTAACCTTCTTTTGATATCTCATTTCATGGGAATTATTCATATTAATTAAGATTAAAAATAAGAACACAGTAAGAAAAGATCACTTTAAAGAAGGGATTTATCCAAGTGAAGGCTTTTGGCTTAAGTAAAGCCTTTTTGACCAAGTTGATATAATAGCAGCACTGTGTAGGTACAGTTTGTTCTGAAACAACACTTGTGTATATTCGTATTATTATGGAATTGCTTCATTTCTTCTCAATAAAAAAAAGGTACTTGATGTTCTAGCGACCACCTGTGTATTTTCCAAATTAGCAATTAATATTTGATTTGAGTAAAGCTGATCTCTCCAAGTTTTTTCTTGGAGAAAAAGAAGTTCACAGGTAGCTGGACCTATTAGATCCCTTGTAACTATGTCCCTTTGTCTGTTCTCTGAAATTCTGTTGAGCAGCTTGCTCAGAAGGCAAAGATTTAAAAGTTTTTGTTTAAGAACGTTATTACTATTTGATAAAGGATCAATTAAATTTTGTTTTACTGATTTCAATACACACCTTTATACTAATAGCTACATAACTTTTCAAGAAAAGTGTCACATTTAAATTATTCAGTAAGGTATAATTAGTAAAATAATTAAATGTAATTTACCTGATATTCATTAATGTAAGTTTTAAACAAGTATTAATCAAGATGATCTTGAATTTTTACTTCCAAGACCTTCTGACAGGGCTTCCAAACTATATTCCAGTGATATATTCTACCTTTTACTGAACTACACTCCTCTCCGTCTTCTCATCTTTTACTCATCTTATTCCTCTTCCTCTCTCTCCCTCTATCCTCATTACTTTATTTCTAATATTTTTTTGGGTACCAGCTACCATGGGTGTATGCTTCCAAGAAAGGTGACTTTACTCATTGCCTCTGCCCCTCTTCAGGTCCATCAACTCTCTCTTTGCATCAACCTCCCCTTTGTTCCTTTCTCTAGAATGACTGTTGATGACAGCAAGGACCATCCCACTATCTTTACCAAAGATGAACACTTTCCACCATGATTAATAGTGAGCCATATATACGTTAGTCCTAGATAAAATGACAAACTAGGCAAAGTTCATCTTGGTGCCCTCCTGCCTCCCCTCTCTACGCTCCCTGTCTCAAGTCCCTTGATCCCTGAATACTCAGAATCTCCACCCCAACCCCGTCAACATCAGCACCACTCTTTCTAGTACTTCCGTATTTTCCAGGAATTTTCTACTAGGTAAGCACCACCACCATCAGTAACTATCTAGTGCTTCAGTTTTTCAAGGATTTGGAGGCACGCTATCCAATTGGCATGCTGTCCAATCAACAAAATTAATTATTTTAATACTCTATTCCAAGGATCCTCTTGAGGTCTTCAAATGTATGCTTCAGAAGCCACCTGGGGTACACAGAGGGGACCAGACAGGTGGAACTTCAACTAGAAAGCCTCTGTTTTATCTGTTTTACATATTGACCATTTAATTGTCTGCCTGCCAACTTTCCTTTTTCTACAAACAATGTTCCTTTCCTTTGGGGAAACCTTTCCTGCCTCTACTATAAACAGGTGATTCTAGTGGCAGCTGCAGCACACGAGAGTCCCACAACTTCTTGCTAAAGGGTGGGCATATGACTCAAGCCAAAGCAAGCTGAGTTCTTCCTGAGAATGTTTCAGGTAGAACTAAGGGAAGAAGGGCTGTTTCACTATAGTGGTAGTCTAAGACAGGAAGGAAGGAAGAAAGAAGGAAGTCTTGAGAGTGGCCACTGGCCACATACTGCCTTGTATAGAATGAAGCTATCACACAGAGATGAGAAGTGTAGAGAGCAAGTCCTGGTGGTGCACCAGTCTCAGATTCCAGTCATCCATGGGGTCCGGCTGCACCTTTTCGCATAGTGTAGTTAAATTAACTAGTAAATTCTCTTCTACGTCTAAACTAACCGGAGTTAGACTTCTGCAACCAAAACATCCTGACTAATCCATTGTGTTTCTGCGTGAAAATTCTTTCAAAAAAGACTTAACTGCTGCTAAATAAGTTTGAAAATCACTGAACTAAACTACAACAAGACATTATTATTGGTAGAATCATAGTGTACCAAATGTTGAAGGTCACTTGGTCTTATGTCCTCATTTCCCACATGAGGAACCTAAAGCAAAGTGATTTGCTGAATATCACCCAGGCAGTCAATGGCAAAGTCAGTGTTAGAAACTGATCTCTAGATCCCTAGTTCAGTTGTTCTCTTCATTACACTACTGTGTTGCCTGTTTAATTCCTCCCAATGGTATTTTTAAGAGGCAATTACTTAGAGATACAACCTTAACCTACAAGAATAAATCACAACAATGGCAAT